AGTGCTGGGATTACAGGCGTGAGCCACCGCGCCCGGCCAGACTTCTTTTTAATTGGTAAATTAATACCTGAAGCAATGCCAAAGTTATCCCAACCAAGGATTTCATTAATTCAGTCATTCAGCAGATATAGATGAGTGCCTGGTATGTCCAGTTACAGAACTGGGTTTTACAAATAGAAATTAGCAAACTCAGCCTATTTTTGCCCAGGGAAGCTGATCGCATTGATCATAAAAACGTCATTCGTAGTTTGAAAAATATTTTGTCAGATTATTTTCAGCACATCCTGCACATCTCCTTAAATTTTTTTAATGAACAGAGCTACCCCTTTTAAATGGAATTCTTCCTGTTTATTACATAAAAGTAAAATTCATACTGTTGTCTTACCACTTAGTTTTTATTCATTTTGAGATCTAAGACTGAAAAGTCTACTTTAGTTTAAATCCCAATCACCTATTTTTTTCTTAAAACGTGATTTATGTCATACCACTGTAACAAATAATGTGTTAATGTTTGTTTCATCTTCCTGAAAGAAGTAATGATTTTTTCTTAGTGGTTAAATATTTTATAATGAAGTCTTTAATGTTTGTGTATAAGAAGGCAAGATTTTTGTTCAAAAGGTATTCTGAAGAAAATTGAAAAATGTTTTATTACTAGTATATTGCAAATTACTAGTCACTTCTTTAACATAAGACATAAATTTTATCTTAGAAAGTGTATCTGGCCAGTGCAGTGGCTCACGCCTGTAATCCCAGCACTCTGGGAGGCTGAGGTGGGCGGATCACTTAAGGCCGGGAGTTTGAGACCAGACTGACCAACATGGCAAAACCCCATCTCTACTGAAAATATAGAAATTAACTGGGCGTGGTGGCATGCGCTTGTGATTCCAGCTACTCAGGAGACTGAGGCACAATAATTGCTTGAACCCAGGAGACACAGGTTGCATTGAGCCGAGATTGCACCACTGCACTGTGACAGAGCAAGACTCTTTATCTTAAAAAAAAAAAAAACAAAAACAGTGTATCCATCTGAAGAGCTTTCAATTACAGCTAATGTCAATATTTACTGCTAAACCTTTTCTGACTTTTTTTTTGATGTATTAAAAGATCACATACTCATTTAATTACTTGTAGTAATTTTACTTTTTCAACAAATGTCAGCATTTCTTTGTTGATTGGCCAGAGAAGGAACCCTGCTTTGTTTTTTTCTTTCTCTCTGTAATTGATTAGATTTTCTGTTTAATTTATGTGAGTTATTTTTGTTAATTTTTTTTTTTTTTTTTACTTAATTCCTTTTAGAAACATGTCATTCAGGTTTATCAAAAGGTAGGATTTATATATACACATTTATTTTTCAATCCTCACTCCCAAATGGCTCCTGCAATTAACATTAGGTTTGGCTTTCCGGCCCTGTTTTTTCCTTATAAACTAAACTTTCTGCTGACAACTAAATACTTAATTCCTTGAAAGGAAACTGAAAAGAAATAGATTAACTCTGTCAGGCATTTTAAAGGGCACCCATGCAACAAAAGGCTGATGCATGCTCTGTGTATTTTCTTTCTTTGGTAGAATTATTTAGCATCCAAATAATTCTGTCTTCATACTAATAACACTTAGCATGCTCCTGTTTGAAGAATGAGATGCTCAGTAATGTTAATGTACAATTAATGATTATCCACAGGCATGCAAAAGGTAAGTGGTAATTGTGTTATTTTTATTTCACTGAGGATTGAATTAGCAAAAGGCTTTAAAGTGACAGGAAAATTAGCTAATACAGAAAACAATCATAAAATTCAAAGCTGCAGCCTCATTTGATTTGGCTTTTTCAGAAATTAAAATGTGAACAGCTGCGTAGCAGAAATGTTTTAATTTTTTCAGAGTTGAAAGCCACTTTCCAGCAACCACTGACGAAAGAGTATCTCATTATTTTTACTTAAAGCACTGCAGAAAGTGGTGTTCTGATTTTATTAATATTTTTTAGGCCAGGCGTGGTGGCTTATGCCTGTACTCCCAGCACTTTGGGAGGCATAGGCAGGCGGATCACTTGAGCCCAGGAGTTCGAGGCCATCCTGGACAATATGGCAGAACCCCGCCTCTACAAATAATACAAAAATTAGCTGGGTGTGGTGGCACACATCTGTGGTCCCAGCTACTCAGGAGGCTGAGGCAGGAGGATCACCTGAGCCTTGGGAGGTCAAGGTTGCAGTGAGCCATGATCATGCCACTGTGCTGCGGCCTAGGGGAGTGAGACCCTGCCTCAAAAAATATATATATATATTTTTTGATGGTAATAATCAAGAGACCAAAAATGTTGCTTTCTTAATGCACACATGAGGCAGGAAATCTTTCATGAAGGGCTACGTTGTACCTGTGCCTCTCAAGTCACCAGAAGGCCAAGCTGCGGGTCAAAACTGTGGGAAAAACACTTTCTTCCTGTTGGCGGTTCCATTCTATTACTCTTTTTTTAATTGAACTTCCCACTTGTCTGATTTTTCCTTGGACAGAACAGGTAATAACTGAATGTAGAATCCAGCTGATAGCCTTATTGGCTTTTAATTGGAAACCCATTATACTATGGGGAGCAGTTAGAAAGTGAGAATAACCCCATTCTGAGGCCGAGGATTCTCAGGGTGAAGAGCCAGCAGGAGTGCCTGCTGTGCGTGTGTGGTGTGCAGTGTGTGCAGCAGTGTGTCCTGTGTGTAGCAGTGTGGCGTGCGATGTGTGTGATGTATGCAGTGTGCAGCATGGAGCTGGCCCCTGTGCACACCCCTGCAGCCTTGTGGAAGAAGGTAGCGCTGGCTCAGTCAAATGAGAGGAAGAGTTTTCATAAGCCCTGCTGGTGACTGAAACGTGTTTTGGCTTTGTTTATTTTATGGTGTTGGTGTTGGTATTGGTGGTCATGTACTGGCATGTAAGATTTCTTTTCTCTTTCCCTCTTCTCTCTGCTTCTACATTCTGTTCATTGAGACTTCCAACTGAATATGAGAGGAACGGGAGATATGAGGGCTCAAGGTGAGGGAAATGATTTTTACTTAAAATTTTTTCCAGATGTTTACTTCATTTCTGTGGCAGAGGCAACACTATCTTCTGAATGTTCCCTTCTGTATTCCTGCTATCTCTACTGTATTCCTGCTGTCTCCTTAGGAGTTAGAGGTTCGCATCAGGTAGAGAGGGTGGCCACGGGGGGGCGCCAGCCTGCCATGAGCACCGTCCGGATCCAGCTTGGCCTCTGCTCTATATTTGTGTTTGTGTTAAAAGCATGGCAATGCCTTCAGCCTTCCTGCCTGGGCGTTAACAGCCTTTGGAGGTCTGGGTTGGGTAGCAGTGCTCAGAGAAATAAGCCCTCAGTTAATCACTGACTCCTCACATGGTTCTCTTCACAAGGAATAAAAGCAAAGTACTTAATAGAATGTCCATATTTCAAACTAGTTATGTTTTCTTCTAAGAATGGTGATTATATAGTTGAGTGTTTTGCTTTTTTTTTTTTTTTTTTTTTTTTGTTTTCTGAGACAGGGTCTCGCTTTGTCACCCAGGCTGGAGTGTAGTGGCACGATCACAGCTTGGGCTCCTGGGCTTATGCAGTCCTCCCACCTCAGCCTCCTGAGTATCTGGAACCACAGGCACTACCACCATGCTGGCTAATTTTTGTATTTTTTTGTAGAGAGGGGGTCTCGCCATGTTGGCCAGGCTGGTCTCAAACTCCTAGGCTCAGGTGAACCTCCCACCTTGACCTTCCAAAGTGCTGGGATGACAGACATGAGCTGCTGCGCCTGGCCTTGCTTTTCCATTTTGTGTAGTTATCATTGCATGGATTTACGGGGGGGGCAGTCACCAGGTAATCTTAGGACTCTGTATCCGTAGTTCTAGATCTCTTCCACTTCTGCCCTTTTTTATGCCAGTCACCAGCAGGCTATTTCAGGTCCTCATTCACCATTTGTCTTTTAGGTCTTTTTAAAAGCCCACTTCTGGTCATATGACCTTTCTGAATTAAAACTTTCAGTGACCTCCACTATTTCACTCGGCCACATCCCTGCGAGGCCCTGAGTGGCGTGGTCCAGGCTGCCCCAGCAGCCCAGCTCCGCTGCCCCATCAAGGCAGAGCATTGGGGTGAGTGCCAGGCAGCATTCCCCCTCTAGGCCTGCCCATCCCAGCCAGTAGCAGGCTCTAGATCCTGGTTTGTTTCCCCACCCACAATAGGAAGGTGAGATAATAGGGCCTACATGGACATCAAGTAAGTTGGGGCCTGACCACCACAAGTACTCATTAAGTGCCACCAGCTGTTGTGGGGGTGATGACACTGTGCCTCCAGTTCCACTCAGTCTGTGTACTTTATTATGCCACAGACACATCCTGTACTTTCCTGCCTCCCCTTTGGCTGTGATCCCCTGTACTCAAAACAAAAACTCTCCTGTCTTCATTGCATTTTGTTGAAATCCCATGGCTCTTCATAGCTCTCCTCAGATGCAGGCCGACTCCCACCCGTGCCATTTCCTCCTTGTCTCATCCTGCCTGTCACACTCTCCTGTCACACTGCTAGGTGGGCTCCACCTCTTCTGCGGCCCTCTAGGGGATGGCCAACCTTTCCTGTGCTGCCACTGTTGCCTCACCTTACAGTCTTCCTGGCTCCAGATTAGTTTGAGAGCTTTTGCTTATCTTTGTAACCCATTTAGTATCTAATGTGGCATTTTATACATAGGAAGCTTCTCATCAGTATTGGTGGATGTGAACCAAATTGAACACTAGCAGGTTGGTGACACGGAGAGCTATGTGCATATGTAAAAACTGTAGCCCCTCACCTCTGATTAGTTGGCCATAGGATGGAGTATACTTGAGGTACATAGACTGTTTTACTCCCAAGAGTGCTAGTCACTCACTGTCTTAATTGAGGCCACCAGATACACACATGAGAATGTAAATAACGGCTTGTGGCAATAATGACTAAATGCCAAAGAATGGCCGGTAAACCATGGTGTTCCCTAGAGACCCAGGCCTGGGCCATACTCATGCTGCGTCTTGGGCATCCAGACCAAGGCTTACATTCTGAATCCGCAGGGCATCCACATGGGTGGTGTCAGTCCTCCACAGACAGAGAAGTGTCCCATTGCATTTTTCCATCTATTCCAGTAGTAAGATTGTGTCATCTAAGATTTTTGCTTTAACTGTATAACTGGACATTTAATTAACAAACCAGAGAAGAGAAAAGACAATGAGGTGGGTAGAGCATCATGTTCAGCCTCAGGGCCGTTCACAGAGAAAGCAATTTTAGACTGCAGGTGTTGAGTCTCCAGTTACCCTGAGTGCCAGTTACAGTGATTTACATCTGAAGGAACTGTCGCAGGAGAGGGACAGCCCAGGGTGGATGGGTGAGGTGGGCAGGAACTGGCTGCCAACTCCCTCCCTGAGCTGGGCCTGCAGAGCCCTGAGTGGAGGAGTGGGGCACGCTGTCCCCTTTGCCTGATTTCCAAGGATTCTGTTTAACCAATTACTTTCTTCATTTTAGTAAGCACAGGTGGCTGGTGAAGATTTTACAGCCAGGTAGATCTTTTTGTGTGTGACTTACGGCTTTTAGTGGGTGGGGGAAGACAATAGACGAAAATAGACTTAGTTACAATTGTGAGTCTGTGCAGGAAAATGTGGAGGTCAGTCGTTAGTTGTGTTGTATTGAAGATGTGAATGAGGAACTAGCTGAAGTGTAAGAGGTTGATTTTCCTGTACGATTAAAAATAAACCTGCCTCTGTGCATTTCAGTCGCAATGTATCTGCTGAGCAAAAGGATGAAAACAAAGAAGCAAAGCCTCGATCCCTACGTTTCACCTGGAGCATGAAAACCACTAGTTCAATGGATCCCGGGGACATGATGCGGGAAATCCGCAAAGTGTTGGATGCCAATAACTGCGACTATGAGCAGAGGGAGCGCTTCTTGCTCTTCTGTGTCCACGGTGATGGGCACGCAGAGAACCTCGTGCAGTGGGAAATGGAAGTATGCAAGCTGCCAAGACTGTCTCTGAATGGGGTCCGGTTTAAGCGGATATCGGGGACATCCATAGCCTTCAAAAATATTGCTTCCAAAATTGCCAATGAGCTAAAGCTGTAACCCAGTAATTATGATGTAAATTAAGTAGCAATTAAAGTGTTTTCCTGAACACTGATGGAAATGTATAGAATAATATTTAGGCAATAACGTCTGCATCTTCTAAATCATGATATTAAAGTCTGAGGACGAGAGCACGCCTGGGAGCGAAAGCTGGCCTTTTTTCTACGAATGCACTACATTAAAGATGTGCAACCTATGCGCCCCCTGCCCTACTTCCATTGCCCTGAGAGTCAGCGTGTGGCCCCATCTCCATGTGCCTCCCGCCTGGGTGGGTGTGAGAGTGGACAGTATGTGTGTGAAGTGGTGTGTATGAAAGCATCTCCTTGCACTGCAGCCAGTCATCACTGGTGCCTCTGCGGGAGATCATGTGGTGCTAAAACATTACACTTGCCAGGGAGGAGAATACTGAGTTACTGCCAAGAATTAACCGTAAGACTAGTTCATAGTTAATACAGGTTTACAGTTCATGCCTGTGGTTTTGTGTTTGTTGTTTTGTGTTTTTTTAGTGCAAAAGGTTTAAATTTATAGTTGTGAACATTGCTTGTGTGTGTTTTTCTAAGTAGATTCACAAGATAATTAAAAATTCACTTTTTCTCAGTAAAATCTTGCATTGTCTCCTAATACTGTATTTAACACACCCTCAAGTTGAGCAAAAGGAATGTGTATGAAGGTTTGGGGTCACGTGGACCTTAGCAGGGATCCCAATGTTTTGTGATTACCAGCATATTTTTTCTCCCAAGGCAATAAAGGGAGAAGACGGCCCTCATGGTGACCCAAGAAGGAAGGGAATCCAGAGCAGCTGCAGCTTAACCCTGGGAGTTGTTGCTCAGCCCTATGGAGAAACACCAGGTCTTGACGGTTCTGGGTTGGTTCTCTGTGAAGTATGTAAATTTCCTTTTGCCTTTCTTGTGATTCACTACATGAATCAGACCTGCAGCTTTTGTCCAACACCTACATGGTTGTGTAGGGGTAATGAGCTCATCACTCATTGTGTTACTTTATTCTCACAGGGAAGTTGTCACACTGACTGGTGTGCTATTTTGGGTTCTGGGTTTGTTGTTGGTCAGAGTATGGAAGTCTGGAGGCCGGGCACCGTGGCTTACAGATGTGAGCCCAGCACTTTGGGAGGCTGAGGCCGGAGGATCATTGAGTCCAATAGTTCAGGACCAGCTTGGGCAACATGGCAAGACCCCATGTCTTCAAAAAATAAAAACATTGGCCAGGCGCGGTGGCTCATGTCTGTAATCCCAGCACTTTGGGAGGCTGAGACGGGCAGATCACGAGGGCAGGAGATCAAGACCATCCTGGCTAACACGGTGAAGCCCCATCTCTACTAAAAATGCAAAAAATTAGCCGGGCGTGGTGGCGGGCGCCTGTAGTCCCAGCTACTCAGGAGTCTGAGGCAGGAGAATGGCGTGAACCTGGGAGGCGGAGCTTGCAATGAGCCAAGATGGTGCCACTGCACTCCAGCCTGTGCAACGAGCGAGACGCCGTCTCAAAATAATAATAATAATAATATAAATAAATAAATACATCAGCCAAGCATGGTGGCGCACCTGTGGTCCCAGCTTTTCGAGATGCTGAGGTGGGAGGCTTGAACCCGGGAGGTTGAAGCTGCAGTGAACTGTGATTGTGCACAGCACTCCAGCCTGGGCAACAGAATGAGACCCTGTCTCAAAAAAAAAAAGAAAAAGGAAAGAGAATCTGGACAGTCAATCAGTCAGAAATATTGTTGTCTATCTCTAGAGTGGGCAAGGCACTGTTCTGATTGTTTGAGATCCTCAGTGAGCAAAACAGACCTCTCTCTCCTTGAGCCTGACTTTCTAGGCAGTGGATAAACAAGTAAATTACCTAGTATGGAGCACAGCAGCACGTGCGAGAAAGCACAGAGCAGGCACGGGGTTCATCAGCACTCTGGGTGGGAATAGGTCTCCTTGGGCAGAGGCCTGGGTGGGCGCGTTCCCACAGATTTCTGGGGAAGAGCACTGCTTGGGCCTGAGGCCTGAGTGCCCGACGTGCCTGGAGCAGAGTGTGGAGATGCTGAGATGCTTCTCCTGCATGGGAGCAGCTGAGGGGATGACAAGAGCCTTGTGGCCTTGGGCTTTCAGAGGATCACCCCGGCAGCTATGCTGGAACTCACTGAAATGGGACAAGGAGAAGCTGGGAAAGCCGCCTAGAGGCTCTCAGCAGCAGTGCAGGCAAGAGGTAGTGCAGCCTTGGGTGAGGATGGGCCTTGGCGCAGATGGTGGTTGGGTTTTGGATATGTTTTGAAATAAGAGGCAACTGCATTTGCCCTGGAGTTGGATATGGGGTGAGTAGAGCCAAGGACAGCTTCATGATTTTTGATCCGAACAGCAGAAAGGCCAGAATTGCTGTTAGTTGAGATGCGGAATGTGGCTGTAGAGATGTTGGGGGACAGGAGGGGAAGAAGATGAGGAGAGCAAGCTGGGGTGTGTTGAGTTTGAAGTCCCTTTAAACACTGAGTGGTGACATTTAGTGGGCAGTTGGAGAGGGGCTGGGAGAGGTCGGGTCTGGGAGACGGAGGAGAAGCCAGGACTGAGTCCTGGACACAGCGCGAGGAGAGGGCCCGGGGAGAAGAGGTGAAGCTGGTAAGGCAGCAGCAAGGAGGGAGGGCCCTCCAGGTGTCAGAGGCAGGTGGACATCATGACCTAAGGCTCACCTCGTGGGAACTTTCCAACTTTTAGCAAGTAAGTCCCCTTCCCTGTCTCTGTCCAGTGCCTTTCAGAGTGGAGTCCTCTAGCAGAGCTCAGTGTGCCCAGTCACAGACAGTGAGGACTTCCCCAGCCTTTTCTGCCTGGTGCAATCTGGTTTTTGTATCCCATTAAAGCATCACAAAGCCAACCCGGACAGGAGAATTGGGATGTCTCTCTGCACACATGAGCCTCTTTAAGGAGATCTCCACACAGACTTCTCTCCCCCTTAGCTGTCGTTTTCTGTCACTGTCCCTTCTGAGCATTAAACCAAGGAGAAGATGTTCTGCCATAAATTACTTCCTTTTCTGGGTAGATGTTTCTGAGCTGTTCTATGAAATTCATGACTATGAAACTGGCTTCCTACCCCAAGGCCGGGCGTGGTGGCTCACACCTGTAATCCCAGCACTTTGGGAGGCCGAGGCAGGCCGATCACTTGAGGTCAGGAGTTTGAGACCAGCCTGGCCAACATGGTGAAACCCCATCTCTACAAAAATATTTTAAAAAATTAGCCAGACCTGTGGCACACGCCTGTAATCCGAGCTACTCAGGAGGCAGAGACAGGAGAATCGCTTGAACCCAGGAGGCGAAGGTTGCAGTGAGCCGAGATCGTGCCATTACACTCAAACCTAGGCGACAGAGTGACACTTCATCTCAAAAACAAACAAACAAAAGATTCGTACCCCAGAAACACACATCACAGCAGGTTCCTGTGCATAATTTCTGCTGAGGTAGAGCAGAGCCCTGCCAAGCAGAGGCTGGGCCACAGTGGACTTCCTCTTCGTTATCTTTGTACCTGGGACTGTTACTGAATTGTTTTCCATTTTTGCATTCTCAAGGACAAATTGAGTACTAGAAGTTAAATTCCTTTAAGAGAAATGAGTTTCCTGAATGCCCCGATGCAGTGACCACTCTTTATGCTCATATTTTCTTGAGGGGCTCACTTGTTATAAGCTGTGGCTGCATTTTAATGCTTTACTTGGTCAAATAAGGAATGTGTGTCTCAGAGACTAATATTCATCCACAGAAAGTTATCCAAGTGGATTATATTTATAAGGCTATGTTACTGTTTGATCTTGGCTTGATTTTAATGGCAACAGGGGTAGTATTCCATTTACCAAGGTTAAAATGTGAAAACTCATTCATCACTAAGGTTCCAGGCCCTTTCTATAGATTTTCCATTCTCAGAATGTGACATTTTTATTATGCATACGATGAATTTTGAAAAGGGATGTTCTGCGACCATTGAAAATCATGAGAGACTGCATTTTTTCCTCATCAACTACCCAGAAATCTCTCAGAAGCGAGATGAGGCACGTAGTGGGGCTGTGCTACTGGTTTTATTTACCTGCCAAGCAGAGCATTGTCCTAATCCTGACAATGGTGTTCCTCTTCGGTAAGTGCTGACTTCCCTCTCTTCTAGATCAGTCTCGTTAGAGGAACCAAAACCAGATTCCTACAAGTGAGTGAGGCCCATGCAGAAAACTGTTGGAAACATGACTGGCTTTTAGGAGGCCGACTGCGATCATTTTCACAGCATATGCTTCTCCAAAAACCTAGACAAAAATGATTTTTTTTTTTCGAGATGGAGTTTCGCTCTTGTTGCCCAGGCTGGAGTGCAGTGGCGCAGTCTCGGCTCACCGCAACCTCCGCCTTCCGGGTTCAAGCGATTCTCCTGCCTCAGCCTCCCGAATAGCTGGGAGTACAGGCATGCGCCGCCACGCCTGGCTAATTTTGTATTTTTAGTAGAGACGGGGTTTCTTCATTGTGGTCAGGCTGGTCTCGAACTCCCGACCTCAGGTGGTCCGCCCACCTCAGCCTCCCAAAGTGCTGGGATTGCAGGCATGAGCCACCCCGCCCATAATGATACTTAGAATAATGATATTTAGGAGAAAAACCTCCATACATGTGCCTGTGAATAAATTATGGTTACTGTGGAAGCCGCGCCAGGCAGCCCCTACCCAGTAAGCAACCTTTGTGCTGACCTTCAGGTCTGCAGAGCAGTTGCTGCTTCCATGGGTGCGGCAACCAAGCAGAGCAGGGGCAGAAGAGGGGTGTTTCCTGTGCGCTGTCCCTTCCAGTCTGTCTCAGAGGGGCATCAAAATGAGAAAGAGCTTGTGGAGTTCAAACCTTACATTTCTGTTGTGGGTTTTTTGTTTCTTTGCTGATTTGCCACGCAGCTCAGGGGCCCTTTAGGTGGGAGAAATTGTTGCTCTTCAAGGGAGTGAAGTGAAGATGGTGCCTTAGAGGTGTTCTAACAGTGCACAGGGAGTCCCGGGGTGACGCCCCCATGATGAGTGGAAGGAACTCAGTGTCCTTGCCAGTCAAGGAGAAAGAAAACAGTACAACAGCTATTTTTGTTTGTTTTGTTTGTCTTGGGTTTGTTTTGTTTTGTTTTGTTTTTGAGACAGCATTTCATTTTGTCACCTAGACTGAAGTACAGTGGCGCAAGCCCAGCTCAGTGCAGCCTCGACCTTCTGGGCTCAAGTGATCCTCCCACCTCAATCTCCTGAGTAGCTGGGACCACAGGTTTGTGCCACTATGCCTAGCTAATTTTATTTTTCGTACAGATAGGGTCTTGTTTGTCTTGGGTTTGTTTTGTTTTTGTTTTTGAGACAGGGTTTCACTCCGTCACCCAGACTGAAGTACAGTGACGCAATCACAGCTCAGTGCAGCCTCAACCTCGTGGGCTCAAGTGATTCTCCTGCCGCAACCTCCTGAGTAGCTGGGACCACAGGCTTGTGCCCAGCTAATTTTATTTTTCATACAGACAACTACGCCCAGCTAATTTTATTTTTTGTACAGACAGAGTCTTGCTCTGTTGCCTAGGATGATTTGAACTCCTGGGCTCAAGCAGTCCTCCTACCTCAGCCTCCCAAAGTACTGGGATTA